TATGTTATCTAAAGTTGTATACATAAATTTAAATATATTTGAAAAATGTATAAAAATGTATCTGGATAAATTCGAATGGATATATGCGAATATATTCAAAAAATATATCCGAATAAATTCAAATCACATGGATATATGTGAATATATTTGAAAAAATGTATTCAGATAAATTTGAATACATGAATATATATAAATATATTCGAAAAAATATATTTAGATAAATTCGAATACACGAATATATGTGAATATATTTGAAAAAATATATCTAGATAAATTCGAATACACTAATATATGCGAATATATTTGAAAATGTATTTGGATAAATTCGAATAAACAAATATATACGAATATATTTATATATTTATCTGGATAAATTCGAATATTTAATATGGATAAATGTGTGGGTGGTCAAATATATTCAGATATATTCAGTTCAAATATATCCAGATATATTTGCTATTAAAAATTTCCTGATGTAAACCTTTTTATTGTGATTACTTTATTTTTTTAAGATTTATAATTTTATAGTTTTATTTAGTTTTGTTTGTTAATTTTAGTATTATTTTATCTCATTGCCTTTGTAAATTGTAGAAGGTTTATATAGATAACACTATGTAATAATATAGCTTCATTATCCTTTATACAGGTGATAAATTTTTCTTGTAAATGGGTTTATAAGATAAAATACACTACTACATAATAGTCTATAGCTTAAATATCTTTCTATTGTCAACTAAGTGCTTATTGTAAAATGATTAATAAGATAATTAAACTATTTTTCAATATTTTTTACCAACTCACATTGAAATATTTTTTATAATGGACCATATAGTATCATTATATAATTACAAATAATTACAAAATAAAAAATATAATAATTAATCTGTGAAAGAACCTTAGTAAATTTTAATTGCCACTGTTATCAATGGTTCCTGGCTCTTCTGCAGACAAATCAGGATAGTGACTTAATGATTCTTTTAAGGAGTCTATAGTTCTTTCTTGAAAGTAAGACTGTTGCTCAGTTGTTTTAAAAGACACCACTGATTCGATTATTTTAGAAAGAGAACCAGACCTTTTATCTAATTTATTTCAATATCTTTTAAGTTTATCATTACATTTAGTATTAACATTCATTTGTAGGTTGTATTCTAGTCCATAATGATAACTAATGACTATTCTTTTATACAAATTTCTGAAAAATTTATTAGCATCACAGAAAGTAAACAACATAAACTTTTTAGTATGTTTTTGTTAAGGTTAATATCATTAATTTATTTTGACTATTCTTGTTCTATTGAGAATATCAATAACAAATAATACATCATAGATAATATTGGGATAATAGATAATTTAGACAAATGAGAACTTATAGTGTTGGCAACAGATAAATTTGATTCTTTTCGATTTTTATTACAATTAATAAAGTAAAGGTGTGTTAACATGATTTTTATCAATATTTTTTTATGTAATTACCTTTTGAATATAACTATGCTTTATATAAAACAATGGCAAGTTTGCAACCCACAATCGATTTATTGAAAGAGGTAAATTTAAGCTTGTTCGTCAAATTGATGAACTTAGAAAGGAGAATGTAAAAACTGAAAATGTAAAGTTAAGACAAGCTTTGGAAGAATATGAAAACAGATTCATATTTTTTCACTTTTTTTTTCAAACTAGATAAGCTCCAAGAATATTGATGCCATTGTGATGAAACTCATTTATTTTGTAGCTATTTCTTCTAAATATTTTAGTAGAAATCACTCTACGTTTCACAAATCACAAACGAAGTGAAAATCTTTGGAAATTTTTACTTTTTTTTTACGTTTTTTTGACTTTGTTCATGATTTGCAAATCGTAGTGATTTTCTACTAAGGTATTTCTAAAGGTGCCAAAATCTTGTACAAATTTTTTGCCTGATTCTTTCACAGACGCTTTTTGTTAAACTAGAATAACTCTGCAAATATTGATTCTACCGGGATGAAACGCATATAATTTTGTACCAAGAACAAGTCCTTTCTTACTACCTTAGAAATACCTTAGTAGAAAATCACTACATTTTATAAATTGTAAGTGAAGTCAAGAAACGTAAAAGATCCTCCAAAGGCTTTTGCCTATTAAAATTTCCTGATGTTTTTAGAAAGTTATGAATCAAGTGGGTGCAATTTAATACAAAATTGTATTCGACACAAGGTTATATTCACTTTCACTTACATGTATGACTTATAAAACAAAAAAAAAATAATATTTATAGCATAGAATATTAATTGTTAACTTTCATTGATCGTGTAACATGTTAACTGATCGATATAATGGTATAAAATAAAACTTCCCGCAGATTGTTTGTAACAATGGAAATGTTTCTAAAAAAACGTAATTAGTTATATTAATTAACTGTTTTTCTGAAATATTTTTAGAAAAGGTGAACAAATCATTGTTCCAATCTTACAACAATATTGTTTGGAGAAATAGAGTTAGAAGTTTTTTTTATATTTATGATTAATTAATATTTATGCTAATGAATTTTACAATATATAATTATTGGGTTTATACCACAGGTCGAAGCACAGCACATTGAGATCAGCTTAGCCGATATTTTGGAAACACTAAATTAAGGTTAGTTGTCTATTTTTGTCAATTTATTCGTGTGGGTTACTCTAACTTAACTAAACCTATTATAACCAAACAAAGGGCGCATAAAACTGGTACAAAAAATAGATAAGAAAAAAAACAAAAACATTTCGTTGTTTAAGAGTTTTATATGTAACAACTCCGATTACTGCGACTGCTGTTACTGCTTTTAGTGTAGTGTAACATTTAAATTTGTCACATTTTCATTTAAAAATACCCACTTTTTTTTAGCAGAATTTATTTATTTCACTCCGTTCAAAATGGTTCAAAGTCAATCTATAGTTGAGGATTTCGATAAGCAAAGTAAGGAACACATCGTACTTGATCCTCAAATTTTGAATCATAAAGAGAATAAAACAAAATCTTCACCGTTATCCCATTTTTCTACTCTAATTATCTCAAAAAACCATTTTTCAAAGAAAAGCCTATCTTCAAAAATTTCAGAAACACACATGATACAACTGAAAAATTCTGATCCTGAATATTTATCAATTAAAGAAAGTTTTATATTTAATAACTATCAACCAAACATTCAAGCAATATTAAAATTACAAATGCCAACAAAATTAGAGAAAGCTCATGAGAAATACAAGAAGAAATTAGCAAAAAAATTAGGAAAGAATGTAGAGGATATTACACACAAGATGTATCATGGCACGACGAGTGCTCTTGAATGTAGGCTCTTAGCCGAAAACAATATTAAGTTAGAATCATTGAATGTAACAGGAAAAGAAATAATTAATTATAATGCTGATGTTATTGAAGAGGATCCTGAAATAGTAGAAAAGTCGAAACTCAATTTTTGCAATAAAGAACAATGTGGTGTTTGTGGAATTTCTCGGGAGGGCAATAGAATAAAATATGCTAGAGTAGGAGGATTATTTACTTTGTTTTCAAGACGTAGTAAGTATACATATTTGTATATATGTTTAAAATTTAAGTTTACAATTAGAATAATTTCAATATTTATTTTTATTAGAAATGTGGTTTGCAAGAGATCCTGCTGTATCTTCAGGTTTTTGCGGATATAGCGGTGTTATTAAAACCATGTTTGTGATAGATGTCATAAACATGGCTCATGATAATGTTATAGTAAAATCTAACGAAATGGTAAATATTTTTATATGTTTAAGAATTTAATAATAACAATAATTATTAATAATCAATAATTTTCTTTGCATTCTAAATAGGCTGCGTTACCAAGATACTTGATTCTATTCGAATTACAGAATAGTTGTCATTTTTATTAGCAATACAAAAGTTTATGATATAAAACAGTGTAAATGATAGTTATAATCTCTCCGATATAAAAAAATTTTTGGCATTTCTAAAAACATTTGTAATGAGAATCAATTTAATTAATGAGTTATACAACTTAGTCACTTGATATATAAAGACTTAATGTATTTTTAATATTTCTAATATTTTCGTTCAGAAATTTGAATTAATTTAAATTAATTATTACATTTTCTCTAAAAACTACTATATACTTGTTAATCTATTTTTAACTCTAAACAATTTTTTTTGTCGCTTAATTTTTTTTTTTGTTGTATAAATTCCCTTGAGCAAATTTCTTTATAAATTCAATAATAATAAATAACGGAGGCTTATCGTAAATGAAAAATATTTATTTTGTTTTAGTGATGTCTAGTTTACTTTATTCTTTATATTAAAACAAGCACTGATAGCTTATCAATCGAATCTTCCAACAGGTCGTTCAGGTCCAAGACCATAATATCCCTCTATTATCCTATTCCACAACATCTTAAACATTAATCAATATATCCTCAACAACAATATCTTTCGCCTACTTCAGCTGATACTGTTGGATTAGGTTCACAACGACAAAAAATGCAATTTAACCATCCTCTACGATTTATAAGTCAACCTTACAATGTTAATTCTCTTATGTAAAGGTTGAAAGTGAAAAAAACTAGTTTTGAAAGTTTTGAATCATTATCATTAAATAGCTTTTAAGAACAATCGAGAAAATCACGAGAACATTATTAACTTGATTTATAATTATCACACGTGATTAATGTGATTTCTAATAATCCCACTTATTAATTAGTCAGAATACCAGATATACTGCTTGTTTAGTATAAATGGGGAATTTCTCACGTTATTTAATAAAAAATGCGCCATTTGCTTCTGAAAAGTATAAAACGACTCAATGTTTTCGACAATTATTTCTCTCAGAAAAAAAATTTACAAAGATTTATTACTATATCATCTTCGAGTGAATTTAAAAAACCAAAAATTGAAAAAATGCAACCCACAATTGTCATTCGTCCTTCTGAAGAAAGAGGTTGGTTGAATTATCGTTTTATATTCTCTTAATTTTCTTTAATTTCTTAATGATTTCTTCTAAAAATTTTATCAATATTATTTAATTATAGGTCATAACGATCATGGATGGTTAAACACATATCACACATTTTCATTTTCTGATTATTTTAATTCAGAATTTATGGGTTTTGGTAATCTAAGAGTAATTAATGAAGATATCGTTAAACCGACAAAAGGATTTGGAAAACATTCTCATAGAGAATATGAAATATTTTCGTATATTATTTCGGGTGAACTACAACATAAAGATTGTAAGCATTTTTTATTTTAAAAGTTCATATTCTTTGTCGCATCTACGATATGTCACAAGATGCAAACTGTCTTGCATTTATTCACACGGTAACGATAAAAAATTCCGTGACGCGACATAAAAACATAAATCATTTTTTTTAATTAATTATTTGTTTTTTTTTTGAATTTATAGCAATGGGAAACGAAGAAATTTTAAAACGTGGTGATGTTCAATTTACCACAGCTGGCACAGGAATCTCTCATTCAGAATATAATATTCATAAAACTTTGCCTGTACATTTTCTTCAAATCTGGGCACTTCCTGATAATTTAAAACTTGAACCCTCTTATCAGACAAAAACCTTTCCGGACTCTCAAAAAATCAATAACTTGGTGCATATAATCTCTCCTACTAATGCCAACAACATTAAACCTAATTCCAATAGTACAATCGTCATTCATACAGATCTTAATATGTTTGCTAGTATATTAGAACCTGGACATAAAATTGTTCATAAAGTGCGAGATAATTTTGAGAATAAACAAACGAATGCGGAAAGAAGAGTTTATGTGCATTTAACAAATTTATTTGGATCTCAAATTAAAATTAATGAGAAAAATGTTTTGAAAAAAGGAGATGGAGCATTTATTACTAAAGTTAAAAGTGGGGACGAAATTATTTTTGAATCTGAGGGAAATGTTAATGCTGAATTTGTACTTTTTGATATAGCTTAATATGTAAATCGTTGTATTTTACAATTTGTAATAGTAATAAATATTGTATAACATAAACTCTACCAAAAAAAAAGCTTATATTAAGATATTTTTGATTACTTTGCAATTTTTTTAGTGCAACCTAATGAAATAATTATGAAGTAAAATTTTTTAAAAATAAAATTATGCTTAAGATCCGTAGCGTAAAAAATTCGTCATCTTGCATTTTTATAATTGTCTTTATAACACTTATTACAATTTGGATTCTTTTTTTTAATTCATAAAAAAATTTAGAGCCATTATTTAAAATAACAATAAACTTCGGGTTACTGCGGAATTTGTTAAAAATGTTAAACCAAGAATTTCATTAGAAAAAATGCTCGCACAAGTGGCACAATCGGGGTATTGTAAGCTTATTACACAACAGCCGTGTTTTTTTTTAAACTATCCAATGGATTGTGGCCATTTAACCATTTAAACTCTCTGCGTTTTTAAATAAGCCCCCAAAAAAATTTGTCAGCAAAAAAAATTTTCTGTTTCAACAATTTTTTTTTCTTTAACATACGAAAGCTTAAATTTCAACTATTTTACTATTTTACTATTTCACTATTTTTGCCTAATTTTGCCTATTTTTATTTCTTTCTAACTCGATTTGCCCTTCTTAAATAAAAATATTTGATATCTTTTTTTATTAAAAAGCGATATTTAGGAATATTTAAATATATTATTAAGTATTTATTGAGAACCGTCTTTTTTTTTTTTTTTTTAACTATTAAAGATGGCTTCCCTTTTTGTTTAAATTTACCCTCAAAGCTTCGCTTTGTTTTTTTTTTTTTACACAAGTAAAAAAATTTTTGTTTACAATACTTTTAGTCTGCCAACAAAATGGCTGCTTTGATACAAATAACTTTTACTCATCATGTGTCTAACAATAACCACCAGCAACACCACCCTTGTATACCTTTTCGTTAACAATATCTACTAAAAATTTTATTCCTCCAAAAAACAATCAAAAAGTAATAACCCTTCAAAAGGAGGATAAAAAAAAAAAAACAAAAAAGTATTATATATTATAAAATAAAAAATCATACCCTTTTTTTTAATTATACTAATTATAAACAAGTAATTATGGTATCAAACCTTAGTAAAACCGAAAATAAATCAAATATGGAGTTAACTTTTGACGAAGATAATAAGATAAATATGTTGCCAGGTTCATTTTCGGATAACTGTCAATATATTAACGTCGCAACGCACGAACCAACTACAATGATGAAATCAGAGGTTGTCAATGACGCTACCCTTTTTGATGAGTGGTTGACTGATGATCTTGAAAAGTTCCAGGAAGAAAATATCATATTTGAGACTCCTCCTTTGAGTTACGACGTATCACCAATTATGAGTTCTTCTATGGCAACCCCTCAAGAAATAATTGAATCGCCCTTATTCAAACAAGTCCCTTCATCTTTCTCTACCAGTCCTCATCTTGATTCAACCCTTGGCTTTTTCCCTGACCTTAGTGACGAAAACGATAACACCAAATCTTTAATGCAATTAAATAATATTGCTCCATCTGTTACAATCCCAGCTGATGATTCTTCTCTTTACATTCCTTGGGGATCTGATGCTAACAACGTTTCCGATATTGATGTTAGAAACATAGCTGTATTGATTGGCACACCAAGTCTTCAATCAGTTGACTTTAATAATGTTATCGATGGAACTATCGATCCCCCTGCAGTAACTGCTCCAACCAAAACTACAACCGTTGTTAGTAGAAGTCGAAAACGATCATCATCTGAATTTGAAAAAGGTCCGGAAGTTCATTCCGAAGAATTGGCTATCAAACGAGCCAAAAACACTGATGCCGCTCGCAGAAGTCGTCTTCGTAAAGTAAAGAAGATGGAATCCCTTGAAAAGCAAGTTTCGGAATTTAAAACCGAGAATAACGAACTACAAACTCGCATCGCAGTATTGGAAAGTGAAAAGAAAGGATTGGAAGAGAAAAATGGCGAGAAGGATAGCAGGATCCGAATGTTAGAACAACAACTAGCTGAAGCTCATGAAAGATTAATTAATAGATCTTAGTTTTTTTTTTTTTTTTTTACTTCGTCGCTTATGCCAAAGTCATTTCTGACTTTCATTTTTTTTTTTAAATTCATCATATTTTATTCATTAATATTTTATTCATCAAATATTTTATTCATCAATATTTTTTTTCATCAATATTTTTTTTCTTACAGCATCCGTCCAAAGAAATTATATATATTTTATTTTGTTTTAATATTTTTTATACATTTCAAAAAAATTTATAATTATTCTCCTATATATACAAAATATTGTATTTCTTATAAAAAAAAATCGAGTAAATCTCGAAGAAAAATAAATAATAAAATAAGAATATTTTTGTAAATATAAAAAAAAAATTATATTATTTTTACATACTTGCATCTATAATATTCCAAATAACTTGGGAATATTATATTTACAATAATAAAAAAGTGCATAAACCATTACCAAAAGATGCAGTCTAATACTTTATTTTTAAAACCAAAAAAATCTCTATTGATAATTTTGTATCTTGTTTAACCTTATAGAATTTACCTATTTCTTGTAGTTACACAAACGTAAATTACCCTTATCGCCAACATATATATATATTCCCAAATTGGTTTAATAATTATCTTATTTTAACTACTAAAAAAATAAGGCCTATGATTTGTAATGGATTTTATAAAACGGTCATGAAAACTGAAATTAAAAATTAATGTTATGTGGAAAGCGGGAAGAAAGAAAAAAGGAAGGAATTCCATTTTTTTTTTTTTTCAGATGTATATTGCACAAATATAATACAATATATTTAATACAATATATTAAGAATGTTCATTTAAAATGTTATCAGATCAGTTAAAAATTATATAATTTTGGATATATTAAAATCTCAGAATCTCATTCACACTAACACAAATGTATATAAATAGATATGAAGGTTACAAGCACGATGGTAATCTACAAATACCAATAAAGTTAATGTAACAAATAAAACAAAAGATTTTTTGTTATAAATTTATTCGTTATCTGCTGCTAAAGAATTTTCTTTCGTTAACGAAATAATTTCCCAAATAATAGTAATTGAGAATTCTAAATAATAATGAGAGAAAAAATTATTCTCGCAATTGAAAATTATATCGATAAGCATCGCGAAAAAATTAAAGAACGTGTTGATAAAAATGTAGAAAAACTTAAAGTTACCATTATTGATAAACTTCCTGATCAAATTTTAGAATTTATTAAAAAGCATTCAGATGATGGAGATGGTCATGATACATTTATGGAAAATGTATTTCAAGTCATATCAAATATAGCAGATCGAGTATCTGATGATTTTAAAGAAGATATTCGTGAAAGTACTCGAGAACGTCTTGACGAAGCTACTATAGATACATCTGATCGATTAACAGATAAAATAATAAAAGAATCAAAGAACGCAGTTAGAGATGTTACTAGTAAAGATGATGATGGTGAATCCTGGTGGAGTAATATTGATTTATCATTTTTGAGAGGAGGTAAAGAAGGAATAATTACCAAAATTTTAGAATTAGCAAGACCTCCAATTAGAAAATCTGGTGAAGAAGTTAACAGAAAAGTTAGTGAAAAAATACCAGACAACGTTAAAGACAAATTGTGCAGTAAATTTGGATTAACTGCTAAAAAGGATAGACAAATTCAAGAAGAAATTCATGAACGTGGAATTTCATTATCAAAACATGGAAAAGAAGAAGATGGTCATATAATTTCAAAATTTTTTAATTCTTTAATTCACAAAGGTGATGATGATGGAAATAAAAATGAAGGTGCTCGTTTAAATATTATAGATAAACTTTTCGCGAAACTTCCCGATAAAATTCAAATTTTTTTAGAACCTCATGTCAAAGAATTTGAAGAAAGATTGATTGATCATTTAAATACCGAATTACGTGAAAATATATTTAAAGATGATAATTTCTTAGGCGGGATTAAGGGTATTCTTGGTAAATTTGGTGATAAAGATGGAGATGGAAAAAATGATTTGTTAGAAGGAGTTCACAATGTAGTTGGATCTTTGTTTCGAAAAAAATAGTCAAATTAATTAATTATTATTATTTGTTATTTGGATTTATATTTTAATTATATCAATTAAATTGTTATGACTATTTTATTAAATATATGATTTGATTATTTTTTATTTTTTATCAAATAAAATTTAAAAATAAATTTAAATGAATAATAATAGGTATTTTTTTTTATTTTTTATCATTCACTAATTTACATAAGACATGCATGCTGAAATTTTTTTTTTTTTTAAAAAAAAAAAACGATAACAAAGAAAGATTAACTAATCTTTGTAATTCGTATTTATTGAATATTTGAAGAACATGGGAATATATATATTTATATTTATATATATGTATATAAATTTATAAATTTATTTATTTATTTTTTTGATTTTATTCAACGTTGAAAATAATAAAAAGATTTAAAAAACAATTTACAAATATAATAAAAAATTAATGATTATATGCTTTGATAATATGTATATATATTTTATGTCTGTATAAATAATGAAATTTTAATGAATTCTATACTTGAATGCTAGTAGTATATGGTCTATAATTATAATTATAATTATCCACACTTTTTCCTTTTCCTTTAATATCAATTTTTGGTGTTATTATTTCTGAATTTGAATTTCTATCGTTTTGTTGTTGTTCTTGAATCTCATCTTCTTCAACAATATCATAAATATATCCTTCTGAATTATTAAAATTTTGATTTTCTTCAATATAAGATTCATCATCTAAATGTTCTTGTTCATTATCCCAATATGTTTCTTCTCGAGATTCTCTATAATTATTGTAATTTTCTGTATCTAATGAATATGATCCTTCTTCAATACTATATCTTTCTTCTTCACTATTATAATAATAATTATTATTATTAATATTAAGATAATTATTATTGTTCATAATTGGTTTTGATATATCCTTATTATTATATTTATTATCATCAGTTCGAGTTCGATTAAAGATTGATAAAGAAGATGGTGGTTGAGGTAATATACTAGAACCAATTGTACTAGCTTTACTAACGGGTCGAGATTTTCCTTTTCTTCCTCTTACCCAAGGTATACTAAAATTACTAAAAGCGCTTACTCCCTTCATTTTTCTTCTTTTTAAATACTTTTTATCAACTTCCCATTCAGAAAATACTTGTTCTTTCTCTTCTAACATTACCCATTCACATTCATGTACTAATCCTTTTCGTGGTTCTATAAAAACCCAATCTCCCCATCTATCGTGTTGTTCTGAGGCTGTAGTTTCCATCCAAACATATGGAAATATTTCATCAATTGTTTCAATAGATAAATGTGTGGTGATAGGTAAATCTTGAGTACTATCAACTATATCCCAATCTTTCAAATTTTCTTCCAAATTTTCATTTCCTACTAATGTTTCATCAAGTGATTTTGATCTTGGTTTTTTGATTGATTTAAATTTAACTAATTTCGTTTTTTTCTTTATATAATTATTAACTGCGAGAAGTGAGTTCTTTCTTTCAATATTCTTTTCTGACTTTTCTTCTTCTTCTTTTTCTTCCTCCTCCTCCTCTTCTCCCGAACTAGCTTCTGTTATTTCTATTATTGGTAAAGAAATACTTGATACATTATTATCAACATTATCCTCAAATTCTGCTGAAGGAAATTCATCCCATACTATTGTTTGTCTCATAGAAACTCCTGAATCATTCCTTGTCAGATTAACTTCCTGACCTTCATTACTTGTCTCATTTCCTTTTCCTATACTTTCTACCATACTATTTTGTTGCCGTAATCTTTGTCGTTGTTGTTGTCGTTGTTGTTTCTTAGTCGATCTTAGATTTACATTATTTTCTATCATTCCAACATCTGGTAAATCTAAATAAAGACTCTTAAATCCTTTTCTTGAAAATTGATTCCATTGTGCTTCATTCATCATCGAATTACGAGTATTTTCTTCAACCGAAAGATATAAATTCAAATAATCATCCGATAAAGCACCAACTCCATCATTTTGAAATTTCGTCCAAATTTTTTCGGCACTTTGTTGTTCATCAATAGACATCAATGTATTAGGACGAATAATTGTTTTACGTTTTAAACTATCCATTACATCAGGTAATAAATTAGAAAATTTTCTTTGTCGATTTGCTAATCCGGAAGTAGTCGGAACTTGTCTTGTGACTTTTAATATGCTCACGGGACGTGATTCAATGGATGAAAAATCAACAGATTTTAAGTTATTATCATTATTTGGTGATAAGTTTTTAACTGTTGAATCAGGTAATGGATGTTCAAAATAATCCGAAGTAACAGAAAGTTTACGATATTCAACATAATTATCTAATAAAATTGTTAATCTTGAATTAAGTGGTTGATTAATCGCTTTTTCACGAAGATAAGCGAGAAAAAGGTGAAGACATGCGTTTGAACATTTTCTCCATTCAGCATAGGCAGAATTGAAATTTCTATTATAATTTTTATTATCACCTAATATACAAAGTGCTAATGATTTTACTATTTTTTGTACTGACATGTTATTTGTATCAGATTCTTCGGTGACTTCAACACAAATTTTAAATAATTCACAAAGAATCTCTTGATTTTGTTTAGGTAAATAACAAAGGAATTTTTTAAAGGAACCTTTACTTGGATCGTAATCCCATTCTATTAAAAAAATAAAAAAAAAAAAATAAATTTTAGGTTTTCACGTTTAATATCACGTGATCACGTGATCCAACATGATTAACGGTAATCTTACCTTGTTCATATCTTACAAATTCTTCATAAAATTGATACGGAACTAAAGCGGTAGTGCTATGCATGAGAGCCCATTTCATTGTTGCAACGATATTATGAATATTTTGTGCTCTAAGTTCATCTTCATAATCAGCCCTATTTTCTCTCAATAAACAACTAATGAGGTCTCTGACCTCATCAATATGATAACCAATATGCGTAGGTTTAAAAATATCAACTTCATGTAAACCTTTTTTTAAAAAAAAATAGAAGAATGTTTTATATATTTGTATACGTACGCATGTATAATATACATTAACGAACATGCATTATATTTATATATCTATGTGAATACCAACCTCTCTCAGATATTTCATCAGAACATCTTTTAATTATCAAATGTACTTCTTCCAAAGTTACCAATTGAGCAATATCTCTTGTATCCCCTTTATTTAACGAACCCAATCTTCCTTTTAAACCATCTTTACTTAAAGTTCTTTTAATGCTATTCTTTTTCTTAACCAATGAAGTTTTTGCGCCGCGAAGCATTTATTTATGAATAAAAAAAAAGTATTTATATAGTTGTAATGTTAATTGATATCTTCCAAAAGAAAAGGAATGTAAAATTATATTTAGATTATAAAGAATATAATTGTATGAATGTTGTTTGTGAATGTATTATATGGAAAAATAAAAAATAACGATTATGAATGCTTCACGAAAATGATTCGTTAATTGCGAAAAAGAAAAAAAAAAAATTTTTTTTTTTCAATCAATATACTTTTTCTCGGGTAATGCCTTTTTATAATGTTTCAAATACAATAATTGAAATATAGATCTTCGCTGTTAGGATTGGTGTTTCTATCTTTATTTATTTATTTAGATTCTTTGTATTATTTTACTCACACCACTTTTTTATCAATGGGTATTTTTTTATATTTCCCCTCTCTATTCGTTGTACCGTTTTAAATTTTGCATGGTTTAAAACCTATGCTATTAATGCAGTTATCTTTACCTAATTTAAAAAATTTAAAAGGTACAGATCATATCCTCACCTTTTATAGAAAAATGAGAATACAAACATTTAAATCAATATGCGATGAAATTTTATTGGAAAGGGTGAAACTTATTATCTTTATTTATTAATCTTTACTATCATCAACTATTATCAGCTATTATCAGCTATTATCAACTATTATCTAATTATTTCAATACATTTTTGATTCAAAGTACCTTTGTCCAATACAATTTTAATAAGAATAAAAAATTTAAATAATTATATCCTGAATAATTTAACTCAATAAATTTCCTTAAATACGGTTAGAAAGTAAATAATTTAAAAGAATGAATTAAATTTTTGTTGAAACCTTACATTTAGCACAAAACGATAATATGAAAGTTTAAAATATAATTAATGAAACAATAAAAGATAGTGAATAAGTTGAAGAGCGAGTACGTGAATAATTTAAAAAATTGAAATTTTATGTTTCAAAACTTTATTTTATTATTATCAATTATTGCATGCATTGAATTTTCTTTGACATGACGAAATATTCTTCGATTCTTTCAATTACCATAAAAAATCATTACTTCATATAATTTTCTCTTCTTCCTCTTTAATTTAATAAATAAATTTTAAATTATTACGAAACTTGTAATTTCTTTAATGGCACAGAAACTTTGTTTACCTTTATGTATAATAAATGTTACAAGAAAGTAAATAAAATAATAATAATAGGAAATAAAATAATAAATATTTATTATCAAACCGAGATTTAAATAGACAATAAATACAATAAATACAAAATAAAATTTTACTTTATTAATTTACCTTTTCTGGCATGGTAAATCATATCGCCCCCCCCCCCAAATTAGTAATTTTTAATTAATTGTACTGTCAAAATATTATATTATTTATATTATTGATTGTAATATATTGTAGATAAATTCTATTTTCTCTCTCATTCTCATTCTTTTCTTTCACTTTACCACGTTTTGTGTCTTTCTATGACTTATGTATATAACTATATTTATAGCGTATAAAAAATAATATTTTTGACATTTTAGGATATATTTGAAAAAAAAAAAAAACTTTAAGTTTATAATTTTTACGTTTATCTAAAAGAAATAAAATGTTGTTACAAGAACACAAGTAACAATAATAACAAATAATAGCAATGAATTCCGATAATTACCGAAACTCATACTTGCCTAAAAAAGAATAAAATGAATAAATATTGTAACTTGATTCTTGTCACTACGTTTATTATTTGCCAAAATTCGGTTTTGTTTTATAATTTTGTCCAAATCTCTTCACTGGTTACCAAGATATTGTCTTCTTGAAACACTTTTTTATTTTAGTGAAAAATTTTGTTACTATTAATCGGCCAAATTAAGTTAATCGTAACATTAAGAATATATGTATTCATTTGTTTATCATATTTGTCTCCCATTATATTTTTTGATTGATTGTTGACTAATAGTATGAATATATGAATTCCTTTTCTCTTTATGGTATTATAAGTGCAGTACTTTCATTATAGCTCTAAATGTAGTGTATTCTTTGTCATTAGTTAAAAAATTTTCTTGCCAGTTTTTTTTTTTGTGATAACCACGTGATTTATATTCTCTGGAGAAAATAAACAAATTTAAACGGATTTAGAAAGATTAATATTAATGAATGAATAGATACTAATTTATAAAGTTAGCGGAATCAATCCGTTACGCTTTCACTTGTTTTAACCGAGAATAGTTGATCAAATTTTTTTATTGAGAAGAGGGAGATATCAATAATACTAACAATAGATTAATATAGTGTAAGGGATATTATCATAAGTATCAGTATAGGAAATCCATAAAACATGCATAATTTGTCACTTAAACAATGAAATCTCGTGTTTCGTATTTTCAGACGTGCAGTATATATGTTTATCAAGTATTCATTCGTTTTTAAGTGTTGAATTTTTTTTTTCTTGCTTATGAGATTTCTTAAAGATTAAATTCAAAATATATGAGAAGATAAAATTTAAAACACATGTTTCACACAGAAATGTTTTTTTTTTAAAAAAAAAAAAAAAAATGAAAATCAAATAACTGGTTGAATAAATTAATTACTTCTGAAACGACAAACAGAGATTATTTACACGTTTAGTGTAGGTAAACAAAGAAGTAATTGACACGTAATTAAAAAAACAAAAATAAATATATTTAATTCATGTATTGAAACATTATAAATATAATAATTACAAATAAAAAATTAAAAAAATTAACCAAATAAATAAAATAATAATAGATATATTTTATAAATAAAATGATAAATAAATTAACAAAATAAATAAATACGTATAATAAGAGTTATTGATTGTAAGTAATAATTAATAATTAAGGAAAACTGGGATGCAACCTAATTTAAAGTTGTTATATGGTTATAAATAATTGGGTTGTAATATGTAAACTTCAAACTTCAAATAAAATTATCCTGATGATATGAAAATTGGATTTCTAGAAAATTTTAATATAATCTGGTACAGACTATTTTATAAGTATGTAACTATGTAACTTTAAACATTATTTTATAGAAATTAAATTACTATCGGGAAGATCTACAGCACTCATACATAATTCAGATCCAAGTCGAATTTTATAAAATTATTATAGCGAACTAACTACGCCTATTATAACCATCAGAATAATAGTCTTTACAACCTTTGCAACCTTTGCAGTATTGCAAATGTTACGAACTACATTACAGCTATTATAAACATTTTACCTGTTACAGCAAGTTAAAATTTTTTGTAATTATGAAAAAATGATCAACCTGCTGATCAAAGGTTGCAGGCAACACTATATATGATGTACAGCATATTCGGAAAAATTCAATTATATTTTTTTACATAAATTAATTCAAAATTTGTTATAATTTATTACATTAAATTTTTTATTTAATAAAGTTCAATCTCTCTAAATTAATTATATTATAAAATTTAGTAGATCTATATATTATTATTACTATTATTATTGTTGTTATTATTATTATTATTATTATTATTATTGTTATTGTTATTATTGTTATTATTATTATTTTATAATTTAAAGAAATTTCCAAAAAAAGGGTTTTCGATCAGTCTATTATAAATGTACAGAATTTTTTTTTTTAAAAAAAAAATAATATAAAAAATTTATATAATATCTCATAATAATAATAATAATGACAATAATGATAATTATAATAAATGACAACTATTAAAAATAGAATGAATTATAAATTTATAATGACAATGACAATGATAATGACAAATGATATTGTGACAAATGATGAATAAATTTAAAAATAAATAAATAAAAATCATCTATGAATTATTTTAAGACCACACAGCAGCATAAGAACCTTTCAATCCAAGTTGTAATGGTCCACCTCCAGTAAATAATTTAGTACCTGATTGATTATATGAAAGTGTATAAATTGCATTTTGTAAAGCAAATCCTGCAAAATGATTTATATATACACTATCATGTTGCTAAAAAATTAATAATTTATTAATAACAAAATTTAATAAATGTTAATAAATAAAAATTTAATAAATGTAAAAACTTACCAGCCATCCGGATCCAGTCTCTTTATATTTGTTAACTAGAGAAGTTTCATTATTCTCGGCTTTCGTTGGGAATTCCAAATATTTTTGTGCTCGCATATCATAAAAAGACAAACGTCCAAAACCTCCACCAGTTGTGATTAGATGATCTTTGAAATTTAAAGATCTTACACCTAATAATATAATAAATAAATAAATATTATTATTAAATATAATAAATATAATAAATAGTAACAATTGTAATAAATAAATAATATAAAATATAATAATTTGTAAATAATTACCCCAACCATCATCAACTGAATCAATTTCATGGACTATTGATGTAGTTCTTGGATCTAATACTGAAATATGTGCTTGAGATCCAACTACAAACAAATTTACTTTTGAATTCATTGATACGCATACATTTTCATTAGTATGAATTAGTTGAATTTTAGATATCTATTATTTTTTTATTATTAATAATATTAATTATTATCATATTAAATTAAAAAAAAAATATAATTTCATAAAATATAATCTTTAATACAAACTTGATTAAGATATGAAGCATCCCATATTCTAACATATCCAGCTGTGGAAAGTGTCATAACTTGCTGTAAATATATAATTATATAATTATATATAGAGAGAATCAGTTATATAGTATAATTTATATAGTATTAATAAAATAAAGTAATATCCAAAATAATAAATTAGAAGAATTTATTTACCTTATTATTTGGATTAAATTGTAAATCACGAACTTTACATCCCCTTTCTGTTCGAGTTAACAAAGGTTGATGAATATTAATATATTTATGTGGAAGTAATTGCATTTCTGAAATTATCTCGGATTCCATAGACCAGAAACGAACTGTTCCATCTCGTGAACCTAAAATTAATTTAAAGTTTTTAATTTAAAAGTTTTTAATTTAAAAGTTTTAATTAATTTAATTACTTCTGACATCATACCTGATACCACATGATAATCATCTATCCATGCAACTGAAAATACTAAATCATTATGTCCCTATTTTTATATAAAAATTTATATACATATAAAAATTACAAATCAATTATTCAATAAGAAATATAAAATGTAATTGTTATTATTTCTTTACCGCGAATACAACTACTGGTTCAAAAGAAGGTAATTCATATATTGTAATTTGAACAGGATTTCCTGCTCCAACAGCTAAAAGTGTTCTTGAAGGATTAACCGCGATACTTCTAATTCCCAAACAATTATTATTATTGACTTCGGGAGGTTCATTTGTTGTTGTTGTTGTTGTTGTTGTTGTTGTTACATTATTATTTTGATTATTATTTTGATTATTTGTGTTTTGATCATTTAAATCTTCGGTAACCAATGGAATTTCAAATCTTTTATTAGTTTTAATATTGAGGATTAAAAGCTGGAAATATAAAAAATAATATATATATATATTAATATAAATAAATAAATAAATCATTTTAAAATATAAACAAATAAATAAATATAAATAAATAACCTTATTGCATTTTGTTCCCACAATAATTTCATTATCTGATATCCAATGGGAAGAGAAAATCTTGTCATGATCTTTTAGATCGATTTGAGATTCCGTAAGTAAATATGGTATTTTACTTGATACAAAACTTGAATAATTTACAGGGCGTCTAATCATATAATAGCAAAATATTATTATTATGATGTATAAAGTATATATAAGTATATAAGAAATATAAGAATAAAGAGTAAGATTAAGAATATAGGTGATGAGAATATTTAAACGAGCAACACGAAGCGATAAATAATTTAAAACAATTAAAATAATTTAATAAATAATTTAAGTGTAGATAAAATAATTAAATCGGGGAATCAAAATAATTGGAATTTAATGTAATCAACTTACTTGGTTCTATTTATTCCTAATTCTCTTTGGTATAAAAATTGATTTATATTCACTTGTGGTTCGTCAGGGAAGCTAATTTTTTATTATCAAAAGTTTTTTAAAAAAAAAATTTAATAAATTTAATAAATTGTAACAATAATAATAATAAATAAATAAATAATAATAATAATAATAATAATAATAATAGTGACAATAATAACAACAACAATAACAAGAATAAAACAATAACAACAATAACTACTATGATAACAACCTCCAAGGTTTTGCTTCTTGTTGTTTAGAAAAGAATGACAATTTCAAAATTGCCATTTTACTATTACGAACGTTTCTTAGAAAAGCTCCTAAAGAGACCTCCAGGCTTGAGAATTTTAATTTGAAAAAAAAAATAGTTGTTATTTGAGAAAATCGTAAATTTGACAAATGCTTTATATATATATATATATATATATATTGTTTTTGATAGTTTGGAAAATGAAAAAAGAATGTAATATTTATTTTTTTATTAATTTATTGAATTGGATTTAAATAAAAAAATCCGAGAATAGATGAATTATCAGATGAAAAAGTTGTCTAGAGTAATGAATAAAAAAAAAACGAATGTAACAGTTGTTTAATGTAAAAATCCTTACACATATATATCCTTATAACGGATAATATAATTTTAAAGGGTGAAATTTTATTATTGTTTTATTAAAAGAATGATGTTTTATTTTCTATGAATAAAATGTTTTTTTAAAAAAAAAGAGGTTTTCGGACTGTCAGTTCCCTATAGTAAAAGTAGTAAATAAGTAAATTAAAGTTACACCGCATTTTATACAAACAAATTAAACAAATCAAAACAAATCAAATAATTCAGTAATTTTCACAAAAATTTTTGTTTTGGAAAAGTCTGTACCAATTATGGCCAATTATGGTTTGAATTTAAAACTTCATTTATTCTTTTTTTATCAATTTATTTCACACGCGTTTATATATGTGTATATATATATCTGCGTTTTAAGAAACAAACAGATTAAATGCGTTGAATTTAATTTTGTTAGTTTTTTTTTAGAAGTTTCTTTGTTAACGTAATAATAATTATATCCAATCATTCGTTTATCTTTAAATTAAAAACATTACAACGAATACTAAAAAAAAAATGATTATTCAAACATTTTCTTCTTCTCTGACAACTATAACAATAATTTACAATAATTTACCAATCGGTGATTTCTTTTTTACTACCCTCTCCAAAATTGAATAAAAATAAAGTCTACATGCATTAAAAATCTATAAATGTAGTTTTTTAAACTATATTTATTTCATTGTCTGTATTTAATGCATTATTTTATACACATATCCTTTTATCTCGTCAAAAGAGAAATAAATATGTATATCTGTATAAACTTAATTTATGAAAGAAAGAGAAATAGAAATTATTTTATATATAACAAAGAAAAAGATTTTTGGATATATACACAAATAATAAATAGAAATGTAAAAGAAGAATCTACAATGCTATTTATAATGTTCACAATGTTTATAGTGTTGACAATGTTTACCATTCGTGTAATGTGAAAAAAAACACGTGGCGAAAAAATAAATCACTTCTTCATAATTTTTCATAATCATTGTTACGGTGGGTCTAATAAGAAATTACATAAAAAATTGAATCATCTATAAAATAAACTGATAAAAAAAAAACTTGAAGAAATTATCATTAATATCATTATCATTATTATTTATCACGTCAAACGTGAAATTCATGTAACTTTTTATTCGATAGTGCATCATTTTGTGCTACGTTAATCTATTCTCTATTATGCATAATAATTTATGCATTTATTAAGTTATACAACGAAATTCAAAAAAAAATTCAATAGATCATAAAGAAAGTCTTGCTTCAATTATATTCTAGCAAGAAATGTTTAGGAAAATTAGCAGCAGATTGAATTAGAATTTTTCCCACTAAATTTGCATCACATAATATCATATAACACAGTTAAAGTGTATTTTTTCAATAACACCTAACCATAAACACATAGAAAGTTGTTTTGTAACTATAAGAATAAATTTTAAACTTACATGTAACACAAAGTGAAAATTTTTTTTTTCGAAAATTCGAAAATTCAAGGGGAAAAAGCAACTAAACCAATTAACCAATGTTCTAGTAAAATAATAATTGCCTGAAAACGAAGTAATAATGTTGAAAACTTACCACTTAATAGCTTAACAATAACAAACTAGCAACAGCAACATTTAAATTAAAGCTCTATTGAAATCATATTAATTTTTTATTTTACTGTCCAAGTCTTATCAATTAATGAATAATTAATGGTCTGTTCTAATATCTTCTCCATTTTCAAGAATTTTCAAGATATATTACAACGACACATCCACAAAAGTATCTACAATGTTTTGACATATATACACCTATACATTTATGTTTATGTTTATGTTTATGTTTATGTTATGGTTTTTTTTTTTTTTTACATTGTACAATGAGAGTGATGAGAGTGCGCTTGTTTGTTTGCTAAAATAAATCCGAAATAGTGATTTGGGAAGATCGTATTTATGAAATTCGCGAAATTCATGAATCAATTAACCACCTTATTCATAAATATACCGAGCATTAAAACCTCCTCTCGGTCTTCAACGTTTATTGACTTTGATGGTCTCTTCATACCTTTAAATAAAAAGTTAACCGCAAAAAAACTCATATAATATTAATATCATATTCATGTAAACATTTGAAAAAAAAATAAGTTTAAAAATATTTAAATTAAATATACATTTTATCAAAACTTACTAAAGAAACTATTACAAACAGAAAATACAGGAACATTTAATTCGTGATTCTTTAGAAACGGAAAGGATTTATATAATGGATTTCGGGGCAACTTTTCCCCAATTATACAGTACATAAAAATTAAATTTTTAATCGTAAAAAAAAAAAAAGGCATATCTCTTTATTTTATAGATGTAGTCATTTGAAACTAAAAATATATTTAAATCAGAATCATTGTTTTTTATGATGTTAATGGAGAAAGGGACTTTTATAAGATAGTTCTTGCGATATTCTTATCTTATATGTAGATCTCTTTCGAATCACGAATTAAAGATCAGCAGCATAAATATAAAAGTAGAACTATACAACGATATAAAAAATTACAAAGACATATATTTATCACTTGGCATTGAATTCATTTAACCAAGATAATATTCTTTCAATATTTTATATCACTCGACGAATAGTGACAAAAATGACGTAGTAATGGGTAAAAAATGAACTATTAATATAAAAATGTCAAACAAGGAGAATTCACATCGCATAAGCAAAAATTGCATTGTTTAATACTTTTTTTAAAAAAATTGTTTTTAAAAATATTATGAAAAATGTTATAAATAACCGAATAATGACAGAGACATTTGATTATTATAACTTTTAATAATTTTTGGTTTCGTCAAAAAAAAAAAAAATCTGCATAATGTTTTAAAATAAATAAAAGTATTTAGATAATAGTTCTTTTCTTTGTTTGACCATTAATTAACTTTTTTTATTATTAAAATTCTTAAATGTATTATTCCATTGAGAGAAAATGGTAATGAAAATACAAAGAAAATTTTTTAAGTTATCTATAATCTATTATACATATAAATAATCTCCGCAAAAAATCATGCATTAGTTCATTAGTTCAGTCCGATATAGTAGATTTAATGGTATACTTATATAAGTGGGGGCCATCATTTTTTAATACCAATTTTATTTTTAGTACGGGATGAAATTACTTCCAAGATTTCCATGTATAGCGATTAAAATCAGTTTTTGCATTCAATTTTTCCATGATTTTATAATCATTATTATTAAATAGAAGAAAAAAGAATGAATTTATTGTGAATGTTATCCAAATTTATGAATGTTAATACTTGTTCTGTATGCAAAACACACAAAGAATTGTTTCAGTAATAAAATTCAATCGTATTTTATCGTAGTTTTTAATGCAGTGACTTGATTAACTTCAATTTAATCACGCAATGGCGGCATTTACATAATTTGACACAATTTAATAATTTGTGCAACATATTAAATAAAAAATTAATTAATTGGAATATCGTTACATCATAAAGATTATATAATTTTAAAGTTAATTTTAAATTATGTTCTTAAATAAAGTTTATTTGAATAAACACTTAAAATACATGATAGAAACTTTACTCTAAATTCAAGTTTTTTTTTTTTATTGCGTTATTTTTATTTTTTTGACAAAAAAATTTTTATCATAAATAGAATAGAATACGTGATCTAATCGGGTTTAAATCTGGTTGTTTAACTATTTTTTTCACAGTGTTATCATTATCATGCGCGTGACCTTTCTTTCAAATTTTCTATTATGAGTTAGACAATAATATTAATAATTTCACGACCCGATATCATAGTAATAAAGAAATTTATTATATCGATCGATCGAACTAATCAAAATAAAGAAAACTATTATTACGAAATATCTTTCTTTTAAATATTTCTTTTAGCGGAAAATCGTCATATGCTATTTCTTATATATATTAGATATTTTTATTTTTTTTTTTTATTACCATTATTTTTTTGATGTATTAAAAGGAAAACCGATAAAAAAGCAATATAATACATTATATCACACACATACACATCATATGTTACAAACGTAGGATTGGACCACTTCAATTTAGTATTGCTAAGAGTCATATGAAAAGACAACGAAACAACATCCCTAAGAGCACGGCCAATTTGTAAAACTCAGGTGGTCATTTTTATGCACCGACATGTAATAACACGAGAAGTACCTGATTTAAAAATTTATGAGTTGACCTTTTTTTTAAAAAAAAAAAAGAATGGTAATATCTTGTAAAATTCCTATAGAAGTTAGAAAATCTGGAAAATTTCGTAATATTTAAGATGTTTGAATTAAAAACATTTATGGATTCAAAAATGATACCATAATGAAAGGAGATTCTAATTGTTTTTGGTAGGTAATTTCCGTCAAAATATGTGCGCGTAACATCTTGAGGAATGCCAATATTTTTATAATTAAATGAGTTGACTTGAAAAAAAAAAAAAAATTTTCCCCCGTTAACCGATTCATCAAAAGGTGAAATTATTCTGGAGAAAAAAAACGGGTCACTTTATCAAATTATTTTAATTCCTTAAGTTAAAAATAAAATGAGCCTTCTAATCAAAGAGGAATGTCCCTTGCATAATGCATAAAATTAACCTATAAAAAGTTTTGTATAACGAAATTGGAGTATTTTTGTATTTTTGCATTTTTTATTTGTTTTTTTTTGTTTAGTATTTATTTTTTATTTATTTTTTATTTATTTTTTATTTATTTTTTATTTATTTTACCTTATTTTTGCATTTTTATGAACTAGTTTATTTAGAAATTAGTTAATGTGTTTAAACTTCTATTGTAAGCCATTGTTGACAAAAATCTTGGAAAAAAAAGTAATATTAAATCTGAGTGGATGAAATGATTTTTCCCATCGTTCCATCGCTATTGCATAACACTAACACTGATAATTGTGTATTTGCATAAATATTATAAATATTATAAATATTATAAATGTTAAAGGAGACTTGCATAATATATTTAAGGGTAGAAAGAGGGTAACAAGGATAATGACGAGAGAACCCGAGGGAAAAAAAAAGGAAAAGAAGCGCGGGGATATGATCTTTTTTTTATTGCTCAATCACTCCAATCACTCCGATAAAGATTATGTATTAGAAATCAAAAGGGGAATTAAAACTTTTTTTAGGTTTTTTTTTTTTTTTTTTTACTTACTATAAATTAATAAGGTAAAGTTTGATAAAATATCACAAATATATTATAACTATATTTAAAATATATTTAATATAAATTTATGTAAAGTAATGTATCTTTTTTTATCACTTTGTTAATGATTTTCGAGTTGATTTTTGGGCCTTTTAATGAGAATAAAAACGATCAATATAATGCATTGAATCACGACGAGTGTGTTATTAATCTGTAGGCATGTAGGGAAGAAACAAAACCCTAAAATTTCACTTGTTTCTCAAGTCAAAACGATACAATTCCCTTTTCGAATAATAATTCGGTCATTGTTTTTTTCAATCAAAATTGGAAGTATTATTCATGCACTTCATGAACAATAAACATATTCAGAGAATCGTTATTGTAAAGTCAATTTTTTTATTTGTTTGAGCAAAACATAAAGTTGGCGTGAATTCTTCTTTTGTGTGACCTTTGTGTGAACAAATATTTTTTAAAATCTATCACATTATTCGTTTTGAGCTTATATAAAATCATTGATATTTTTTTTAAGGTTCCTCAGAAAATTGAAAATTGATTCCGATTTTTTTTTTTTTTTTTTTGAAAAAAAAAATTATTTATAAAATCGAAAACCTTTCAATCATTGCATACATAAGATCATTCTTCAACAATAAACTACAAAAACTATTTTAATAATAATAATAATAATAATAATTCTAAAAGATGGCTACTCAAGTATTATACAATAATCAAGAAGTTATACATTATAATAAAGAGATAAAATCAAACGATGTAAATGATACGAATGATGCAAATGATGTTTCGTCAATAATATCAGATGCATCCTCAGAATTTGATCCAGTTAAAGAAATCGCATTTCAACTTGGTGTTGAATTCATCAAATATTCAGAATTCGAAGAAATTGTTCCTATTAAAACAGAAGCCAAAGTTATCGTGAAACGAGCAATATGGAAAGAACAATCACAAAAAGTTGCATTAAAACAAATAATTGGTACTAATGATGAAGAAATACACATAAAATTAGAAAATGAGGTAATAATCGTTATATACAAATAGTAAAGAAAGCATGTTTCTATATATCAAAATTGTAATTTTTATAATTTTATAATATTATTATTTTGTAGATAATGCGCGCCTTACAAAACTTGGATCATGATAATTTAATGCAACTTTATGGTGTCACTGAAGGTAATTTTAATTCGTGATAACAATGAATGTTATTGTTATTAATTCTTTTAATTCTTTCTTTTATTGAATCGTATGCTTATATATTCTTCATATGTAACACTTGTAGATATTGAATCCAATAGTTGTATGCTAGTATTACAATTGGCTAAAGATGGAAATCTACGTGAATATTTGGCCGCCAATCCAGAATTACCTTGGATTAATAGATTACGAATTGCGAGAGATGTATCGCACGGTTTACGACAATTGCATAAAGCAGGAGTAATTCATGGAGATTTGGTGAGTTCTTATTTATTTCTCTCTCAAAATATAATATATTATCATGTATAATACATCACGAATATCACGAATCACAAATATTTCATAAACATTACGAAGATTAACATTTTTATTTACTTTTAATAATAGCATGCACGAAATATATTCATTAACGATGGAATAGCATTCATAAAGGCTCCACGAATGATTTCACATGATGAATCAAATTATAATAAATCATCTGAATTAATTCCTTACGTAGATCCAAGATTAATATCAAATAAGGATTTAAGACCAGAACGAAGCTCCGATATTTATAGTTTAGGAGTCGTGTTATGGGAAATATCAAGTGGACGACCACCCTTTGAAAATCATGAGAATCAAGTACGACTTACTGTATCCATATTAACGAAAAAAACACGTGAACAACCATATCCTAATACACCAGCAGATTACATAAAGTTATATGAAGATTGTTGGCAACATGATTCTGCATTAAGGTCAACAATTGATGAGGTTTGTGATAAGATGAATGAATTTTTGAAGGATGATCCTCTTTCAATTCATCATATAAAAAAAAGAATAAGATCAAATGGTATATATTTCTATTATCATCATTTTTTATGGTTTTTCTTTATTATCCATCATTGTTGGTTAATTATATTAATTATCATACTTTTTTCCCTTTTTTTTGAAAACTAATAACAGACGATGATGATGAATTTACGTTCGAAGAAGTAAGAATTCATTTTTTTATTAATCGATTATGTGTTAATCTTTATGTTTACTTATACTAATCTTATTATGTACTTAGGAACCTTTATCACCTCCAAGAAAAGAAGAAGTAGAAAAAGAAGAAGAAAAAATAGAAAAAGTAGACAAAATAGATAAAGTAGATAAAGTAGAAAAGGTAGAAAAGGTAGAAAAAGTAGAAAAAGTAGAAAAAGTAGAAAAAGAAGAAGAAAATAACAAAGCAGTGAATGGATTCGCGCATTTATCAAATGGAAATCGTGGAATAAAACAAAAGTAAGTGCTTTTTTATTATTATTATTATTTTCTATCATGTCATTACAACTTTAGAATTCAATCTAAATAATAATAATAATAATAATAATAATCGTTTTTAATTTTTAATTTCCATCCCAATAGTGGATCAATAACTTCGGAAACGGATACTGATAACACATTAAAAAAACAAAAGCGATCCTCAAAAATATTTCAAACTTTTAAGGTGGATATTCGAAAGACCAAAAATAGATTATCATCTGTTTGGTCAAAAATTTCATGTACAGGTGGTGGATATGTTGATGATGAATTAATTAATTAATTAATAATTATTTTTTGAACTTTTTGGTATTTTATCTTTAAGGACAATTTACTATTTATCTATATAATATAAATTCTTTTCGAAACATTGTAATAACAATTATTTAAAAATTCCGTTGCATATTATTAGTTACTTCAACAAATACAAAAAAAAAAAAAAGGTTAGAATGTAAAATAATATTTTAAATTTTCTTTCTTATTAACACTACTTTAATTTCAAAAAAAAATTTTAAAAACTTTAAAATAATATAAAAAAATTCACAAATTAGTCATACAAGAAAGCTATCACGTTTTTAGTTATAATTACAATTTATAGGATAATGTGATTATGTGACATAAATTAATGTTATAGTTCTAGATAATGAAATTTTATATATGAAAAAATAAAATAAATATACAAAATTTTATTTATACAATTTTTTATTATTATTATTTAATCTGTATTATTTCTGACCAATTCAAGCACATTATTTTCGTCGTCTTCATCACTATACACAATTTCTTGTTCAAATAATGACGCATCTACTGTAACATCGCCTTCCTCCATAAAAGTAGCATCAGAATTAACGAGTGTCTCATCTTGCTCAAATAATTGTCGACCTTATATCATTATATTATATATAAATAAATATATATATATATATCGAATAATATCAAATAATATCGGATAATATTGAATAAGTTTTGGATTTTTACACACATCACGTAACACATTACATTTAAGAGATTTCTTATAATTACCCGTCAATTTGTTTTTTTTGGCTTCCTCTTTTTTCAATGCCGCTGAACTCTTCTCGAGCTTTTCTTTTTCGGCCATATCTTTATTAAACTTTTCTCTCCATTCCAAAAATGACGCAACTGTCACCTTTGTACCCTGAAATTTGTTCTGTTCCGCCTATTTTTCCATAACAAGCAATAATAAATAACAATATTATTATTATTATTATTATTATTATTATTATGAGAAATAAAAAAAATAAAAAAAAGCAAAAGTATTTTTTTAATTATCACCTCAATTTCCTTTAGAACTCGGATTTCCTCTTCTTTAGTTATTCGTTCTTTTCTCTCAACAACAAACGATGTTACCAAATCTTTTAACAACGATGATAATGTGAATATCATTGCCATTCCTAATGAATCTTGTGCCTTAAATATTCACAACACATCGCGTGTTAAAGATTGATCTATTATTCTTCACAAAGAATTTGATAAATCCAAATCATCAAATCAATAAACTAATAATAATATATTATAAACCGATCTTTATACATGCCACATTTATTAATTCAGAATTTAATTTTTCCTTCTCTGCTTCTTTCAATGTACCATTTATAACATCAATTGATATATCGGGAATTTCTTCGGGATATTTTGGTGTATATTCTATATGCAACGCCACAGTAACTATTAAGCAAATCGTTTAGTCAAAATTATATTAAAAAAAGATTTAAAAAGAAATATATAATGAAACCTTACGCCTCCTTACGCGGTGCAGAACTATCCGATTCTTCCGGTTCAAGTATGATACGGAATACTTTATCTCCGATTTCTTTTTTCAATGATATTAATAATATGTTTAATTCTTTGGTCAATTAAATTTTAAACAAAACATATAATACCTTCTAACTCATTCGGATATATAGATTTCAATACTTCTAATTCTTGTTCTTGTTCTTCCTCATAGTCTATTTAAACAAAAAGCACTGAACATTGATATAATAATTAAAAAAATTTTTGGCAATTACGAAATATTTTTATTAATTATTACCCATCGTTTTGAATTGTTCAAGATTTTTTTGCTTTGAGTGTCCTTACCTTAGACCCCCGTTTTTTTGAATATGATTGGCTCTTTGGTGTGACATATAGATATTTATCAAAAGTTATTTATAAAATATTAATAACAAAACTTTATTTTTTTTATTATGTATATTAAAATATAAATATTTCAAAATCTGTTAAATAGGTTAATTAGTAGTATTCTTGAGAAAAATATCTATCTTTCAATGTATTTGTAAGCTACCTTCATGAAAATAAATATTTGAATGATTGAATACTTACTGAACAAACTTAGTTGTTCAAAAGAAGTTTGTTTTAATCAAAATGTTAAATTCACACTAGTCAAATACAAAAGAATCACTGTACTGAATGGTGATTCATATTATATATGTCATCAAAACTATTGAATTGAGTCAGATACAATTAAAATTGAAAAAATTGAAGTTGAGTCAAGTAAAATAAGTAAAATTTTCATTTTTACATAGTAAATTGATGCAATTATTGAGTCAGGCATAATTAAAAAATTGCAAAAATTGAAATTGAATCAAAAGCTTTTTACTTTTGATGACATATATAATTTCTATATTATAGATTAACTAAAAATCAAAATTCCTTTTCAGTATGTTTATTCTTTTGTGTTTGTATAAATAAAGATAATATCTTTAATTATTTTTTTAAGTTCTTAATATTATAAATTTTTTAAATAGAATTGTAATACAAATTCACAATTCTACAATTAATTCAATTAATTGTAACCTTTTATATAGTATATTTTCATTTTTGAAATCTCCATATTCCTGATTTCAAAATAATATTTTTTTTATCTCAATTAAATATTTCTACATCAAGTTATTAAATAAAACAGTTTATTTAATTAATTAAATAAAGTTATCTAACCTGTAATTCAATTTTTATAATCTGTAGCTCATAGGATTTCTCTTGTCATCAGAAAATTTTAAGAGCAAATGTATTCAGAATATATTTGAACTGTATTAATTTAGATTATCTCTTAAACTGTTCATTTTAGTAAAAAAATTTGTCACTAAAATAATTAGAGAAAAACTCAACTCAAAAATAATTTTTATCCTAAATCTTGACTAAAATTGTCCATGATAACTTCTGAAGGATCAGATGATCAGGTCATATGGTAATACTACAGCAGCAAGAAACACGAGCAAACTTTTTTTTTGGTGATGTGATTTTTTGTACATTTTTACACACCTTTTAGCCTGCAAGTTTTTAGAACTAAAATCATTAAAATCAATAACAATTTTTGATATATATCAGAAAACGATACCCAGGAACACACTTTAGAAGAAGTATTTTTTTCTTTTTTAAACTGACCTCTAGAAGCTCAAGAACTGTAATTTGTTTTCTTGACAAAATGAAGTAATTTAAAACTTAAGAACTATAATTTGCTTCCTTGACAGAGCAGAGTAATTTAAAACTTAAAAAATATAATTTGCTTCCTTGATTAAAAAAACACTTAAAACTTTAAAATTTATATTAATTATTTGCGTAATTATTTGGACTTTAACTATTTTTTAAATGTCTAAAATCTATATTGTAATCTTGCCTAGTTGGAGTTTTCAAAATCTCACCTTGTAACTTTTCCTCTTATATTTGAAAAAAAGGTATAATTTTATGTGTTTTTTTTTTATATCCTCAAGTTTACAAGTTTTTAAAACTAATATCATCAAATAAACTGATATCTGAAATATCATCAAATAAATCAACATCTGAAATATTGTCAAATAAATTAATATCTGAAATTAAGAAACATAAATCTTTAGATGAATGTGATGCAAACGTGAAGTATTGTAGAGTATTTAGTTTTTTATTTAGTTATCAAATATAGAACTGCATAACATAATATCCTTTAGTATGAATTTTACACATTTCAGGTGCAGAAGAAGTCAGCTTACCACAAACTTTGCAAGGGACGTTGTTACTAGTTAACCTTTTGGACTAATTTTATTTTTCAAAAGGCAATTTACAACTAGCAACTCGTAAACAGTTACTTTAGTTTACGAAT